CTTTTATTGCTGCTTGCGGCCGTTTCTGGGGTCCTTTTGGGGGCACCTCTCCGTCCTTATCACCTGACTCTCCTTCCCCTATCACTCCCCATCCCCCACCTCCCCTTCCATCAGCCCCATTCCCTTCGCGGTTTTCTCGTCGTCCTTTTTTAGGCTTTTTTTTTCTCTTTTTTTTTTAATTCTTATTTCTTATCTAATTTTTTCACACCATTCTTTGCCCATTGTCTACCTCTTTTTCCCTCCATCTCCCCTTCATCCTCCTGTATCGTATTCTCGTTTCTCCTCCCCTTCTCTCCTCTCCTCTCCTCATCCTCTCTTCTCATTCTCTTTTCCCCCTCTCTCCTTTCCTCCTCCCCCACTCCTCCTCCTCTCCCTCACTCGTCCACCACTCCTCCCCCATCCCCCGTCTACCTGTCCTCAGCTGGCCGTGTTGAGAGACGCGAACCCCGCCTCCCCATGTGTTTGTAAAGGCGTATATTTTGGGTTGTCAGTGCCAGCTGGTTGGAATGGCACCTCCTCCTCCTCTTACCTTCCTCCGCTCTCTTCCTGTTCCTCCTCCTGCTGCTGCTGCTTTTCACCTCCCTCTCCTCCTCCTCCTCCTCCTCCTCTCCTCCTCCTCCTCCTCCTCCGTTCCTCCTCCTCCGCCCCTCCTCCTCCCTCTCCTTTCCCTGTCCTCCTCCTCCTCCTCTCCTTTCCCTGTCCTCCCTCCTCCTCCCTCTCCTTTCCCTTCCTCCTCCTCCTCCTCCTCCTCCTCCTCCTCCTCCTCCTCCTCCTCCTCCTCCTCCTCCTCCTTCTCCTTCTCCTTCTCCCCCCCCTCCTCCCCCTCCCTTCACCCCTTCCTCTCGCTGTGGTGTTCGACGCTCTTTGCAAATGAGGTGTTTAATTCCTCCTCATCGGGATTGCGTTTGCAGCCGCAGGTAAGAGGAGGCTCGCAGAGGGCGTAAGTGAAGCCGTAATTGACTGGCTGATGAACGGACAGACGGAGGGACAGGAGGGATAGGGGCGTGGAAAAGGTGGTAATAAAGAGGAAATGGGAATGGAAGGTAGGGGAGACGGAGACAGAGAGAGAGAGGCAGAGAGGTTCATGCTGTTGCGTGTGAGGGAGGTAGATGGCGGCGAGACAAAGGGCTTTCGGAGGGAGATGATTAATGCAGAGGTTGGGAGACTCGCGTCGTCGTGCTCTCTGCCTATCCGTCTATCCATCTTTCCATTTTCTCTCATTTTCCATTTTCTCTCATTTTCCACGCTCCGACTTTCATGCGAGTGAATGCGTGAGGGAGGGAGATGGAGCCTCGGCCGGAGTGACATCCTCAAGAACTAAGTAAACATTTTTTTTTTCTTCTCTCTTATCCCCCTTTTTCTTCTCCCTCTTGTCCCCTTTTTTCTTCTCTTATCCCCCTTTCTCTTCCCCCTCACTTCCCTCCCTCTCTCCGTCGCTGCTCCCTGTAGGCGATTATGAGGGGCGAGAGAGCGACCCCGAGGGGAGTGGCACCCCCGAGGGCCAAATAAACAGGCGAGGGAATCGGTCGGTTATTTAGGGCTGCGAGGGACTTGAGGGACGTCTTGTTACAAACACTCGGGGCCTGCGTCGGGGGCTCCGCCTGCCTGCCCGCCCGCGCTTGTTTATACGTTCCCTATTTCTGGTGACGCGCGGGCGTGCCGCACCGAGGGCGTGCCGCACCGAGGGCGTGCGTGCCGAGGGGGGACGTGTGCGGACACTCCTCGGGGACGAGCTTTTGCGCACGTCGTCGGCGGGCGTCTGCGGAAATGGGGTTTGGTTGTTTTTTTCTTTGTCGTTTTGTCGTGGTGGGTTTTGTTGTCTTGGGTGTCGGCGGGTGTTTGTTTTAATACGTGGTGTATTTTTTGTTGTTTTTGCTGTTATCTTGGGTGGTCCGTGGCTAGGGTAAGGAGGGGGGCAGGAAGGTAGTGGGAAAGGGAGGAGGAGGAGGAGGAGGAGATAGTAGAATAAGAGTAGAAAAGAAAAGAAAAAAAAAAATGAGGGTTGAGGAACTTGAGCCCTTCTCCCTTCCCCTCCTCCCTCTTCATAAGTTAAGGGGGGGAGTAGGGAGGTGGGATGAGGGGTGTGTGGGGAGGGGGGGTAGGAGGAAGTTCCTTTGAGGAGCGAGCGGGAGAGAGAGGGAACCAGCTGGGCCAAGATGGTGGGAATTGGGGTCGGTGGAAGCGAGGCGAAGGGAACCAACTGGCACTAGGGTGTGTGTTTGGGTGTACACGTATGAACGTGTGTATGTTTGTATGTGTATGTCTGTATGTATGTGCATATGTACGTACGTATATATGTACGTATCTATGTATATTCATGTACGTACTTTCGAGAGGAAGGGATTTAGGCTCGGCGGAGGATAAAGAGGGAGATCTGAGATAGAGATTGGGATGGGATATGGGCAGGAAAGGGGGGGGGTCTGCACTGTATCAGCACCTGATGCCAAGATGAAGAATGTCGATACATAACGGGGGATGGGTACGAGAGAGAGGGAGAGAGGGAGGAGGGGGGAAGAAAGACAATAAAAGAAAGAAAAGAGAGACATTCAGAGGGGGTGATTGGGAGGCCGCCGAGAGAGAGAGAGAGAGGAGAGAGGAGAGAGAGACGTGGCGGTTGTGGCTGCGGCCGCGGGAGCACCTGGTAAATTTACCTGCGGAGATTATTGAGTGGCGGAGTTGTAGGTGGGGCGAGGCACTTCCCCGCGCTCCTTGCCGCCCCGCCCGCTGCCTCTCTTGCCCCACGCCCCCTTGCCCTTCGTCCCCGTGGGAAGCGAGATAGCATACCACAGACGGAGAAAAAAGGGATAAAGGGGCAATAAATGTGAATGGACTCCACCTGGATTTGATTTTCTTTCCATCTCTTTTCTCTCCCTCCCTCCTCCCTCCCTTCCCCCTCCCGCTTCCACCCTTCTCGGTAATCATCCCTCCATTGCCCCGGAGGTCCGCCAGCGTCTCGGACGGGCAAAGGCATTCCAGGTGTCGGGACGGTTGGCCGGCCGTGCCATGCCGCCTCGCGCCTCAACAGCTGCTTTCTTGCGCTGTTCCCTTTGCCATTTTTTTTTTCCTCTTTTTCTTTTTTCTCCCTTACTTATTTCGCTTTCTCCTTCCCTCCTCCTTTACGGCCTCTCCTTCCTTCGCCTGTCCTCCCGTCTTACTTTTTCATTCTTATTCTTCAGTTGTTGGTCGTCCTATCTGTCAGGTTGCATTGCGCGGCCACGGGACTGCCGTTCCCGTAAACAGGTGTTGGCAGGGGAAAGGAAGGGAGAAGAGGGGGGAAGAGGGGAAGAAGGCATGTATGGTACGCCGCGACAAGGACGTGCCGACGCTGTAGTTTGGGTGGCACGCGATGTATGGGCGTTCTCTCCTCTCTCTCTCTCTCTCTCTCTCTCTCTCTCTCTCTCTCTCTCTCTCTCTCTCTCTCTCTCTCTCTCTCTCTCTCTCTCTCTCTCCTCTCTCTCTCTCTCTCCTATTCTTGATCCAACTACTACTACCACCTTCAGTCATTTGCGTCCAGAGTAAGGGAGAATAAGAGAACATGATAGAAAAAAAAGGACCGAAGCCCCCCTCACCCTCCCCTCCTCCCCCACCCCGTTTGCCTCCGTCGTCGTCGTCGTCGGCTTCGGTCGCTGGCTCCCTTGGCTCCCCAGGCGATCCGAGGGGCGCCGTCGCCGCCTCCGGGGGCGCGATGCACTTGGCGGCGGTAACGTCACGTCCTCTGGTGCTGTTGCCATGGTTACGGCTTCGCTGGACGGGCTACTCGGGTGTTGCCATGGGTGACGGGTTGGTGTCATGTGATCAGCTGTGGGGTGTTGGTAGTAACGCTGGCTGGGGGCGTGATTGATGGCGCTGGAGAGGGGAGGGGAGGGGGAGGGAGAGAGGGAGGGAAGCAGGGGAGGGGAGGGATGGGAAGGGAAGGGAGGGGAAAGCGAGAGGTGGAGGGAAGGGAAGGGAAGGGAAACCTTATCCATGCGGACGATTGAACGGACGGACGGACAGACGCACACGCAAGCACGTACGTGAGCCGTGTTAGACTTCTTGAGCGTCACTCGTTTCTTTCTTTTTACTCCCATTATTGGTGCCACGTTTAATTCTCTCTCTCTCTCTCTCTCTCTCTCTCTCTCTCTCTCTCTCTCTCTCTCTCTCTCTCTCTCTCTCTCTCTCTCTCTCTCTCTCTCTCTTATATTCGCGCTACGATACACACCGTTATTATTTTAGTTCCCGGGAGCGGTTATGCCAAGACCAGAGGGAGTTAACGCGGGTCTTCTCGGCCGGTTTATATTCAGTCCCTTTCGAGCGTCGCCGGAATTAGACGGGGGACGGAGTGCGTTTCCCGGCCGTTAGTCTTATCATCATCCTTATTATCGGTGTTATTGTTTTTTTTTTTTTTTTTAGATATCATCAGTCACCATAATCATTATCGTCCATTTTATCCTCAAAGGGTTGCGGAATGGGTTATTTTCCTCATTTTTTACATAATCCACGTGTGGACATGTTGCCTCACGGTTGTTTTCTCGCTCATTTCCTCTCTCATTCCTCACGGTAATGTTCTCTTGTCCTCCTCCTCCTCCTCCTCCTCTCCTCCTCCTCCTCCTCCTCCTCCTCCTCCTGAATCGCTCGCTACCTCGTCTCCCTGTCGTCTGCGATTCGTCTCGGGGTCTTGCGTCGAGCTATTTCAATTGCGCGTCGGGGATTCTTTTTTTGATGTCTTATCCAAGTATAGATCAAAATGAGTGTTATTTTTTGCCTTCTGTGTTGTTTATGTGTGTATGTGTGAGAGTTTTTTTGTATTTGTGTTTTTAGTGCGTGGTTGTGTTCTTGTGTGTGTGTGTCTGTCTGTCTGTCTGTCTGAGAGAGAGAGAGAGAGAGAGAGAGAGAGAGAAAAGAAAGTAAATAAAAGAAAAAGAGTGCAGGTGTGAGTGCGAGCGTGCGAGACATGACGCGAAAGTAGAACAAAGCTTCCCCTTTTGTTAACGTCCCTTTCCTCTCTCCCTCCCCTGCAGGACAGAGTCTTGGCTACGGATTTGTAAATTACGTCCGGCAGGATGACGCCGAGAGAGCCATCAACCAGCTTAACGGCCTACGTCTTCAGAACAAAACTATAAAGGTTAGAACGACGTTTTTTTTCTTTGCTTTTTTTTAGGTCGTATATATGTTATAGAAATGTTAGTAGGGTCCTTTTTTATATGGGCGCTCCCGTTCAAGAGGATTTTCGGAGCTTTTGTTTCTAAGTATTGTTGTTAGTGGTAAAGTAAGGGGGATTTTGTCAGTTGCATTTTGAAGTTTTGTTTTGATAAAAAGAAGTTGATTTGAGTTAGCAGCACAAATTTATGCAATTCATTACCTTTGATTAACGTAAATTTTCATTGTAGTTTACTTGACTCTTAGCTGAGGAAGCGACCCTTAAATTGGCATCCCTGTATGAGATAAGTAGGAAAAGACAATGGACTGGTAGGATATAAGATTAAGACTAACCCGTGCACCTTCCTCCCTCTCCCCCCTCGCCCTTCGTCCCCCCCCCCTTCCCTTCGTGGCCCTCTTGGCGGTGCCTCTCTCCTCCCCGTGTTCCTCGTGGTCCGCTTCCCTCTCCACCCTTCCTTCAACGCCACCCTCCAATGCTCCTCCACCAACCCTTCCCAATTCCACTCCCCTTTTCCCCTTGCCCCCTGTACCACCCCCTTCACCTTTTCCCTCACCCTCACCCCAACCCCCAACCCCTCCCCTCTCCCCCCCCACCCCACCTCCAACAACTCCTACAACTGTCCCTTCCTCCGCGTCCGCCCGCAGGTGTCGTACGCCCGCCCGAGCAGCGAAGCCATCAAGGGCGCCAACCTGTACGTGTCGGGGTTGCCCAAGTCCATGACGCAGCAGGACCTGGAGGGCATGTTCAGGGCCTACGGCTCCATCATCACCTCGCGGATCCTGTGCGACAACATCACCGGTGAGGCCGCGGCGCTGGAGCCTGCCACCGCTCTCTTGCGTTATTTTGTTTTTGAATATCCACTTAATTATTATTATTATTATTATTATTGTTTTATTATTATTATTATTATTATTATTATTATTTATTGTTATTGTTATTGTTGTCATTATTATTTTTTTTTAGGTTTTGATATTTTACAACTATTTCTACTACCTGTTATTGATGCTGATTTTATTGTTTTGTGTTTTCATTTTGTCAACTTGTAGAAATACTATTATTGTATTTATTGTTACGATGTATAAGTTAGGTGTAGGCCTTTCATTCCTGCTTTTTTACGAAGACTCTTGTTGTTGGTCCTCTTCCTCTCTCTCTCTCTATCTATCTATCTATCTATCTAATCTCTATCTCTCTCTCTCTTCTCTCTCTCTCTCTCTCTCTCTCTCTCTCTCTCTCTCTCTCTCCTCTCTCTCTCTCTCTCGTCTCTCTCTCTCTCTCTCTCTCTCTCTCTCTCTCTCTCTCTCTCTCTCTCTCTCTCTCTCTTCACCTTTCACTTACTCTTACTATTACTCTAACTCTTACCTCCTTCCTCCCCTTCGCCTTCTTAGCAGTACGCCGCCATGAAAGTGTTCCCCTCTGCGGCCAATTGGTCCTCCGTAAATATTCCTCCAAACGCGGGATCACACTTCCCGTAATGGCTTTTTTCGACTGAAATATTTATCGTTGGCTGCCGAAATGAAGGAGCAGAGAACAGTGTTCAATAAATGGTGCAGAGGGAGGAGGAGGAGGAGGAGGAGGAGGCTGGAGCGGGTTTTTTCTTTCCCGTTTTTCCTCATTTTCGTTTCTTTTGGTTCCTTTATATTCTCTTGACTTTTCATTTTGTTTATCTGCTGCTGCTTGGCTGCTACAAACATGCTACAAAACACAACGAACACACACACACAACACAACTAACACAACAAACCTTGCCACACACACACACACACCACAACATTCAACACTCTCCTCTCTCTCACTCTTTCCTCTCCGTCCTCTTCTCACTCTCTCTCCTCTCTCCTCTCTCCCCTCTCTCTCTTCTCTCTCTTCTCTCTCTACTCCTCTCCCATCTCCTCTCCCTCTCCT